CCCCCCCAGGGAGGTACCCGGTTCTTCATGTGCGGGGATTTATTCATTTGGAAAAAGGGGTTTTTTTCCCTAAAGGGGGCGGGGGAAATTTTTTTTTCCCCCCGGGCCTTTTAAAATATTTTGATTCCTTTCCGGGCCCCCAAAAAATTGTCAGTTTCAAAAGCCACCTCCAAGGGGAAGTATTGGACTCGGAGTCCCCCCCACGGCTGGCTCGGCAGGGCCGGGCCCAGTGATAAAGCCCCCAGGCCGTGGACACCCGGCCCCCCCCCGGCGGCTGCTTCGGGAAGGGTTTGACTGAGGTGCCACCGTGCGCACAGTCCCCGTGTCTGCCTCTGCCGGGTGCTCCCTGGCTGTAGCCAGCAGCGGGTCAGGAAACGAGACAAGACCGGCCCCTAGGGCGCCCCCTCGGCCCCCACCCCGCTGCGGTCATCACGCCCAGACCGAGTCACCGCAGCACAGCCCTGCCGGCCGCCGTCTCCCCGTCAGTGCCCTTGTTGCCTCATTCCTCTCGGGTTGCCTGCGGGAGTGCGGTCAGTGGTGCTGGGAGGGGAGATCCCGCACTCCCGCTGATGGGTGTTTGCGTGGCTCCTGTGTTGCCAGTGACCGTGGCCGGTGGCCTTGTGGACGTCCGTGCACCTGTGTGCAGGGCCAGGAGATCCGTTTCACCGGGTCCACCCTCGGCACAGGCTTTGCGACCGGACGTGGATGGTTTTGCGTTGGGGACTGGCTGGCAGCCGAGGTCTGGGCGGGGCTTCCTGTCCTGTGCAGGGGCCATGGCTGTGGCTGTGCAGGCCAGGGGGTTGCAGGTGGGTGGACGAGACATTTAGCAGCAAAGTCTGTGTGGCGGTGGCTGCCAGAGGGTGGAGAAAGAGGAGGAAAGACCAGGGCTTGGGGGACATCGGCCATTGCTGGCCGCCATCTCTCTGGGTGGGGGATTGTCAGGCACCTGCCCAGCAGAAGGATCGGGGTGACCCAGAACCTGCCTTCCTCCATGCCAACGAAACAGAGAACAGAGTTAAAATGCTGATGGGGCGTCCGTGGGGAGAGGAAGCCACAGCCAGCACCGTGCAGAGAAGCCAGAAGAGTGTGGGGTGCATGGAGCGGCAGGGGGGTGCGTCCCAACCCCCTGAACCTCCTTCTACACAGCCATCTGAGGGCTCCTGTCACCCACAGCTGCAGGGGGCCCCCGATCCTCCCTCTGTCCTCACTGGGGACAGGTGAGGGCTCCCTGGGGAGTCAGAGATGAGCCCGGCAGTAGGGTTGGCTGCAGGACCACAGGCTGAGGCTTGGGACTGCTTTATGCAGCTGGAGCCAGTTTTCAAATTACCTTCCCTGGTTGGTTCCAGGTGGAGGGCGGGGTAGGGGGTGGGAGGGATGGAGTGGGGTGTGTGAGAGACATTAAACAGCGCCCCCTGGCGTGCAGTTCCAGGGCTATTGCGCACACGCTTCCTGAGACGATGGTAGTGAAACAGCGCCCTCTGGTGTATGGCACTGGAAGCCGTTGCTTACACGTATCCTGCGAGAGCCCTGGTGGCTGTTGGGCACACTCATGGCTCACTGCTGGCTCATCTTCACGGCTTGGGGGAAGCTGGTGTGCAGCCCCATGCTGAGGGCAGCCTCCGGTCGTTGAGGTTGGACAGTGATGGACAGTGCGGGTCCAGGTTGTCCTGTATTCTAGTTCATGTCCCAGCTTTTCTCTGTCCCTAGTGCATTGAGTTGAAGACAGAGAGACAAGCACTGAGCTGGGCAGGAGGAGGTCACAGAGGCGGTGGCTCAGGCTGCCTGGTGCACTGCCTGCCCACGGCACCTTATGCCGGACATGGCGGAGACGCCGCTACGACTTTCCCACGGCTGACTTTGGGGAAGATGTGAGGTCATCACGCAGATGGAAGCGATAGGCAAGCGCTGGGTCAGCGTGTGAATGAAAAGGTTTTGGGAGGGGGTTGGCGCGGTGGCGCAGTGAGTTAAGCCACCTGCAGTGCCGGCATTCCATATGGGCGCCGGTTCGAGTCCTGGCTGCTCCTCTTCCAATCCAGCTCTCTGCTGTGGCCTGGGGAAGCAGTGGAAGACGGCCCAAGTGCTTGGGCCCCTGCACCCACGTGGGAGACCTAGAAGACACTCCTGGCTTTGAAGAGCTCTCTCTCTCTCTGCCTCTCCCCCCTGTCTCTCTGTAACTCTGCCTTTCAAATAAATAAATCTTTAAAAAAAAAACAGCAAAAATTAAAACGGTAAGAAGTTCTGGGACAAAATGGCTTCAGGAGTAAAATCTAGCTGTTTAAGAGGAAGTCCTGCTCCTCTCCTCCTACACAATCCCGAACCGGTTAAGGGCAGCGGTGGGGGGTAGGACGCACCTGTGGCAAACAAAGCTGTGTGGGGTGGGTCGGCCCTGGGATAGACTGTGAGTGTTACAAACTGTGACAATGTACAACTACTGGGGTTCATGAAGGATGGGGCGTGGCTGGAGCAGGATGAAACAACAGAGTTCTATCCGGAGTTAGCTGACAATGGAAACATTTAAACACTTTTAAGATTTATTTTATTTATTGAAAGAGAAATCTTCCATCCCTGGCTCACTCCCCAAATGCCTGCAGCAGCCAGGGCTGGGCTCTGCTGAAGCCAGGAGCCAGGAGCTCCATCCGGGTCTCCCACGTGGGTGCAGGGACCTAAGCACTTGGGCCATCTTCCACTGCTTTCCCAGGTGCATTAGCAGGGAGCTGGATCAGAAGCGGAGCATCCGGGACTTGAACTGGTGCTTGTATGGATGCTGGAGTCGCAGGTGGTGGCTGAACCCGCCTCGCCACGACGCCGGCCTGGAAACATTTAATGTAAAAGGCCCAGCTTCCGTACGCCTTCCATGATTTGTCTTAACTTCAGAGCCGCAGTGAACTTCATGATGAAGTGTTTGTGTGAAGTTGAACAAAGCTGAGTTAAGATTAAATGTAGGGGCCGGCGCCGCGGCTCACTAGGCTAATCCTCCGCCTAGCGGCGCCGGCACACCAGGTTCTAGTCCTGGTCGGGGCGCCGGGTTCTGTCCCGGTTGCCCCTCTTCCAGGCCAGCTCTCTGCTGTGGCCCGGGAGTGCAGTGGAGGATGGCCCAGGTGCTTGGGCCCTGCACCCCATGGGAGACCAGGAGAAGCACCTGGCTCCTGCCATCGGATCAGCGCGGTGCGCCGGCTGCAGTGCGCCGGCCATGGCGGCCATTGGAGGGTGAACCAACGGCAAAGGAAGACCTTTCTCTCTGTCTGTCTCTCTCACTGTCCACTCTGCCTTTAAAAAAAAAAAAAAAAAGATTAAATGTAGGGCTGGCTCTGTGGTGCCGAGGGCTAGGCCGCCATTTGCGATGCCGGCATCCCGTATCGGAGCACTGGTTTGGGGTCCTGACTGCTTTGCTTCAGGTCCAGCTTTCTGCTCATGTACAGGGACAGCACTGGGTGATGGCCCGAGCACTTGGGCCCCTGCCGCCCATGTGGGAGACGTGGATGGAGCTCCTGGCTCCTGGCTTTGGCCCAGCCCAGCCGCAGCCGTTGCAGGCATTTGGGGAGTGAACCAGATTATGGAAGCTCTCTGTCACTTTCTGTTAATCTCTCAAATAAAAAGAACAAATCTTTAAAAACATTAAATCTAACAGTTTCAGTTAAAAATGGCAGGTGTGTGGTTTGATTCCCACCCCTTGCCCTCTCCTTCACCCCACCCCATCCCTGGCTCCGCTCCTCTGCCCTGCCCGTCTGTGCTGTGCCCAGCCCCCTGCCCACGGGCTTCCCGACACTCTTGGAAAGATGCCCGGCCCGGTGTGCACCGATGCTCCTGGGGTATTTATTTGCCGATGAGCTGGGGTATCTATTTGCCTTTAGACCGAACTTGCCCGTGATGGCAATCAGATTCAGCAGGGGTAGAAGATTTATGTAGCCGATCTCATTCAAGGAACTTATTCCAGAGCGAGGTTAGAGGGCTTCCTTTCCCCACCCCTCAACTGTCCCGTTCCAGACAAAGCCAGTCAAGACTGGTATTGTACGTGTGTCTCCACGTGCACAGATAATAAAATCGTAGGTTTGGGGCTCGTGCCCAGTCCCCAACGTCCAGCCGTGTAGGTGTTTGTCCATGTTGGAACAAGCAGGTGGTCCTATGTTTTCTCTTTTTCTGTCTTAATTCATCTGGGAGGCGGAGAGACAGGAAGTTCCCGTCAAACGCCGGTATCTGTCAGAGCTGGGAGCCGGGGCTCAGTCCAGTTCTCCCACAGGGGTGGCAGAGACGCAGCCGGCTGAGCCGTCACCTCCGCCCCCAGGGTCTGCATTGGCAGGAAGCTGGAGTCAGGAGCCGGAGCTGGGGGAGGACTCCGGTCCTGGGATGTGGGATGTGGGTGTCCCCAGTGACCAAGTGCCAGCCAGGTCTTCGTGTTTCTTAAACGGCTGACAATGTTCCAGAATCAGAAACTGTCCAGCGATTTGAACAAGGACAATGTAATATTGAGGATGATTGACAGGGGACTGACTAGTGAGGGTGACCGACATCCGTAAGGAATGGGGCCCGTGTTGTGGCGCCATAGGTTAAGCTGCTCCCTGCGATGGTGGCATCCCATATGGGTACTGGTTCAAGTCCCGGCTGCTCCACTTCAGATCCAGCTCTGTGCGAATGCACCTGGGAAGGCAGTGGAAGATGGCTCCTTTGTAAATCGGCTTGCTGGACTGAAAGTCCCTGGGGAGCCCTAAACTCCCGTGTGGGGCTGCAGGCATGGGCTGTGCTGCTGTTAGGGTACCTTAGTGGACAGGTGCAGCTTCCCAGTGCGGAAATATGTCTCTCTTTAGAGGCAGTGCCAGCCACGGGCACCAGGTGGCGCTGCGCAGCGCCCTCTACTGCCAAGACGCAACATTGCGCCTCCCCCAGGCCGGTTCTCTCAGGGCCCAGCTGGATTATTCTAGAGCCGGCCCAAGTGCAGAATGGGATCTGCAAGGCGGGGGAACTGAGGGCGGCCACACACCAAAAGGGAAGTTTCATTTTTTATCCCCCCACCAGGGGGGGGGTAGTTTTTTTTTCAATAGAAAATATATTCGGACTTCAAACCTCTCCCGGGACCGGGCCGCACCGAGCCACTCATAAAAACAAATTTAGAAGGCCCGGCCCGTACCCCCCCAAGGGGGGAGGGGGGGGTCAAAATAGGGAGGCGATGAATTTTTCTCTTTCGGGGGCAAATCTTTCCGGGCTAGAAGGATCTCCCTTGGGGGGGGGGTGGGGGGAGCCAGGACGCAGTGAGGGAGGGGCGGGGGAGAGCAGCGCTGGGCAGAGCCGGAGCTTGGAGACCGTCCACTCCTCGGCCATGGACGGGAGGACGTCAGGTCTAGACAGCTGCGAGAGGTGAGGGAGGCGAATCCTGCAGCGACCATAGCCGTCCCCTCAGTTTGCACCATTCCCCTGTGCTGGGAGACGTTCAGAGTCTCCCCGGGAGCTGCTTGAAAATTCAGTGAATTACTGTCAGCGTGGCGTGGTCTTGGACGCCAGCAGCCAACATCGTGCTGGCCAGCCGCACCCCTGCTGCTCCCCCCCCCCCCCGGTTGCCACTTGAGGACTGGACTGGGACCGTGCCGCGATGAATGTCTTTATCCACATTTTTTTTTATAAAAAAGATCTATTTTATTTACTTGGAAGGCAGAGAGAGAGAGAGAGAGAGAGAGAGAGAGATCTTCCATCTGCTGGTTCACTCTCTAAATGGCTGCAACAGCTAGGGCTGGGCCAGCTCAGACTCCACCCGGGTCTCCCATGTGGGTGCAGGGGCCCAAGCACTTGGGCTGCCTTCTGCTGCCTTCCCAGGCACATTAGTGGGGAACTAGATCGGAAGCGGAGCAGCCGGGACTTGAGCCAGCTTAACCGCCCGTGCCACAGTGCATGTAAAGAGCCGTTTCCTTCGCTGCCATGTGCATAGGTTCCCAGACCATGTGCTGGTCCCAGGCCTTCCGGGTCAGGGACCCTGCCTGGCGATGGCTGGCTGGGTTTGTCGACTGCTCTGCCCGCCTCTGGGGGTGGTTTCCTGTGCAGGCCGCCCCTCAGGCGGTGCCCTGGGCACTCTCTGTCTCCCAGGCTGAACCTCCGGGAGCTGGGCCCGTGGGCCTCCCACATGCGCTGGCTGGTCTGGATCATGGCCTCTGTCGGCACGGTCTATGTCTTCTTCTTCCACGAGCGGTAAGTCCGGGCTGGGGGCCGGGGTGCCCCCTGATACCCCACTAGGGCCTCCTCAGTGCCTTTGGGCAGGTGGGGCCACACGGTGGCCCCGGAATCCCCGTGTTGAGGCCCGTGGATGGACACAGACACCTCCAGCTGGTGTGGCCACAGTTAAGAGCACCTTAGGTCTGTTGAACGGGAGCACCCATTATCCACCTGCCCTAGACGGTGATGGCAGATGACAGGGTAACCCAGGCTCTCCGCTCGCCGTCCTGCTGGGTGACGGCCGTGGGGAGAGACGCAGGGCTGGAGGAGCCGCAGGGAGTGACAGATGCCACCGCGGGTCCCTCCAGCACAGGGACTGTTGCTGCAGCAGCTCAGTGCTGTTCAGAGTGGCTGCTTGGGCCCTGTGGGGGAAAGGTGCTGGGATCGAATAGTAATGCCTGCCACGGGCTGAGTACCAGCAGTGCCCTTGTGCGTGCTAGGCCCGATGTTTGCCATCCCTGTTCCGGCTCGAGTGTGTCGCCCTACAGATGTGGACGCCGAGTCTTGGGGAGGGAGACACAGTGTCCACTCCGGTTAGGTGCAGCTGGGAGCGGCCCTCTGTGGAAGAGTCCCAGCCAGGGGTCCCTGCCCGCCGTCTCCTCCCCGGGGCGGCGGTGCCGAGGCCCAGAGGCCGCGTGTCTTCCCGCCAGGTACAAGCTTGTGGAGTTGCTGTGCTACGTCGTGATGGGCTTTTTCCCCGCCCTGGTCATCCTTTCGATGGTGAGTACCCATCCCCCACCCCCCACTCCCCGCCTAGCAGCTGGCTGCTGGTGACCCGCAGTGCCCGAGCCATCTGTCAGACTGTCAAACCCTCTCATTTGTTTTATTTATAGATTTATTTTATTTACTTGAAAGGCAGAGCTAGAGAGAGAGAGAGAGAGAGGTGTCTTCCATCCACTGGGTCACTCCCCAGACAGCCACAACGGCTGGACCTGGGCCAGGCTGAAGCTTCCTCCTCGTCTCCCTCGTGGGTGCAGGGGCCCAAGCACTTCTACTGCTTCCCCAGGCGGTCAGCAGACAGCGGGATCAGAAGTGGAGCAGCCAGGACTTGAACCGGCGCCCATGTGGGATGCCAGTGTCGCAGGCGGTAGCTTTACCTGCCATGCCACAATTCTGGCCCCTGCTTTTAACTTTTTAATTCTTTATTCCTACTATGATTTCTCCTACAAGTGTCGCTCCCCCAGGGAGTAGCCAGTTGTCCCATTATCTCCCATTTGGAATGGCTCCTTTCCTTGTGGGTAAAAGTCATAGACCGGGCTCTGTGTCTGAGCGATGGCAGATCTCACCGATGGGCCTGTCTGGTTTTGTAAGGGGACCAAACCGCTCTACTTGTTGTAGCTTTCAGTGAATTTTTAAAAAAGATTATTTATTTATTTATTTGACAGTTAGAGTTACAGACAGTGAGAGGGAGAGAAAGAGAGAAAGGTCTTCCTTCCATTGGTTCACTCCCCCAAATGGCAGCTATGGCTGGAACTACAGCAATCCGAAGCCAGGAGCCAGGTGCTTCTCCTGGTCTCCCATGCGGGTGTAGGGCCCAAGCACTTGGGCCATCCTCCACTGCCCTCCCGGGCCACAGCAGAGAGCTGGCCTGGAAGAGGAGCAATCGGGACTAGAACCCGGTGCCCATATGGGATGCTGGCGCCGCAGGCGGAGGATTAGCTAAGTGAGCCACGGCGCCGGCCCCGACTTTCAGTGAATTTCCACACTTGGCAGTGAGATCCCCGTTTTGCCTCCTGTTTAGCAGTCTCCCTGTGATTTATTTTTGCAGATGACCTTTTTGCCTCTTGATGTTTGATCTTATTTAAATAGACATTTTAACATTATGTGTTTTGCACTGCAGCATATCCACGTGGGGGAAATACGTATTACAAAACCATCTGCGTGGGTTTCCAATGTTTTTGTGAAAACAGAGTCTATCTTTTAATCCCGTTTTCCATGCACGTTTTGAGTAGCCTTCTATGTGAATTTGAATTACGTCTTCAGTGCAGGAAATCAGCCGTGTGTGGAAACGTCATCTGTCAACCTCCTCCCCCAGTGAGATTTCCTGGCTGCAACCACCATTGACAGTTTGTTTCTTGCGTGTCTTTTCCCTGTTTAAAGAATTTTATTCATCCACTTGAAAAGCACAACAACAGAGAGAGAGAGAGAGA